AAACCGATTGAATTATACCCTGCACCTTTCGTTATTGTGTAGCAATTATTTAAACCTCTAAAATCATTCTATAGAAACTTCACGGACATGTCTGACCTATAATTGGACATCCGACTGCCAAGTTTCATGAATCTTACTTTATTATTTTTCCAAATATTTAAAATAAGCTTTTGGAGTTGTATAGCAAGTACCCGAACCTGTCAAGCAATTTCACTAAAACTTCACAAATATATCTGATCTATTATCGGACACACAACTGCAGAGTTTCATGAATCTGACTTTATTATTTTTCCAAATATGTAAAATAAGCTTTTGGAGTTTTATGGCAAGTACCTGAACCTGACAAGCAATTCCATCAAAACTTCACAAATATATCTGATCTATAATCGGACACACAACTACCAAGATTCATGAATCTGACTTTATTATTTTTCCAAATATTAAGAATAAGCTTTTAGACTTGTATGGGAGCTACTCGAACCTGCCAAGAAATCGCACCAAAACTTTAGAAATATGTCGGAACTATAATTGGACACATGACTGCTAAGTTTCATGAATCTGACTTTATTATTTTGCCGAATATAAAAAATTTGCTGTTGAAGTTGTATGGCAGCCACACGAACCGGTACAGCTATCCCATTATAATTTTTAGAGCATGTGTAGAATATAATTGGACACATTTATACAAAATTTTATATTTATACCTTTATTAGTTTTTGAAATATTTAAAATAAACTCTTTGAGTTGCATGGCAGCTACCCGAACCCGTTGTCCGAATTAGTCCAATAACAATAGGGCTCGTCCTTGGCACAAAAGAAAAAACTTGTGAAAGTTTGGTGTCGATTGCATTATTCGTTTTTGAGTTATCGTGCGATCGGACGGACGGACGGACGGACGGACGGACGGACGGACAGACGGACATGTCTAAATCGACGCAGAATTTTACGCTGAGCAAAAATATATATATATGTCCATACCGCAGATGACTCCTTCAAGTAGTTACAAACTCCATACCAAAGTTAATATACCCTTCACGAAGTGCAGGGTATAAAAAAGGTTTTATGTATTTTTTTACTCATCAACGTAAGTAGCCAAAAAAGTGTTTATGCATTTATATTATGTTATAATAGAAAACAACGTATATGTAAATGTGCACATATGTATATAATATTTAGGGTTCAATTTGTTACATCCGCGGTGCGATGATCGACACATCCAATATAATGTAAATATAAAGTAAATAAAATAAAAAATAAGGGCAAAGTTTACACTTTTGTGCATATATAGAGAGGAAATCATCCTATTTCCGTGAAATTTAATGGTGATTTTTAAAAATGGTGAACAAAACTGGTGAACATACTTAAAAAACCAATATGCGTTGAGTCATTGCTGAACATACGAATAACTAACGCAACTACAAGTAACGCAGAGATGAATTTGATTTCTCCGGAAAAAAGGCTAAAATTTTATCTAGATACCTATTATATCGCATTCATATCGCATAAAATGTATACCGATTTTCTGCACAACTTGTTAATTTTCGTGTTATTTTCATATTTTCATAAGTTGAATAATAATGCACCATCAGCGATTACATATGGACATAACCTTTTTACCGACAATAGGTAGGTTATGTGATGGCAACAAATTTTGCATATCGAGTTTTCGGTGGGAACGTACTTCTCCATAGTAGGGAAGTGTAAATAAACTATTTTTAACAACCTGTCGGTCTGTCTTTTGGTATTATATCAGGCCTCGGGAACTGCACTTTTTAGCGGGCCTGTTTTACATTTTTGAACATTTTGAAGAAAATATTCAACCGATTTACTTGAAATTTTATATATAAGCTCAACTCGACAGTCCGCAAAAATTCGTATGTTTTGGAAGAAATCAGGCATCGGCAACTAGACGTTTACTACGGGCCAAATATACATTTTTGTGTATATAAAGAGAAATAATCAACCCATTTCATTGAAATTTAATATATGAACTCCTTGTATTAAAACAATGAACATATAACTTTTTTGGAAAGATCAGGGCTCGAGAACTGATTTGCGGGCCGATTTTACATTTTTCACCATATCCACAGAACAAATTGATGGAATTTCTTGAAATTTGATATTTGAGTTCTGGTTGTTACCGAAACTAACTGGCGAGCATTTCAGGAAATTCGGGTAGCACAAAGCGAAACTCTACTAAGAGCCAAATTTACATTTTTCTAAGTATGTTAACTATAAGCTTACTAATGTCCTAAAAATTGGAAAGAAGTATTTAACAGACATTTTTATAATATTCTGTAACACTTTCATTTAACTAGACAATACACAATGCGGTCGGTTATTTGCTGACCACATCAGATTTTTTATAATGTAACTATACATTTTGTGCAATCCGTGGTTGAACTCGCATTTGCAATCTACATTTAATCAGCAAAGAAATTTAATACTCAAAGAAGAACACTAATACATCGAGCTTTCAGTGGGAATGCACTTCTCCATGTTAGAGAAGTGTAAATAAATTATTTTTAGCAACCTATCGGTCTGTCGGGTTGTGTGTGCATGCGTGTATTTCGAGTTCGGCTCAACCGATTTTGATGAAATTTTATAAATTTTTTGGAAAATTTAATATTTAATTAACAAAATAACGCATTTTTTTTAAAAATAACTCTATGTTGTGATATCGTTTTTATTTGTTTACTCAAAAATTTTGTTTACGATATTTATTTATTTGTTGTCATAACGATCTTTTAAACCAATACACTTCATAACGCAAGCCCACCCTCAATATAGTGGTGCTACCATACTAACGGAGCTTAATTGATAACGAATCAGTCAAACTTGCCATTATGTTGGGCCTTTGTTACGGGTGACGAATTCTTTTCACAATTCTCGTTTGAAAAATTAGTAACAAGGAAAACAAAGACCATAAAAAAAAGATGGAAGAAGATATAGCAACTTGTATATGCATTGAACACACCAACCCATTATTGTCGGCAGAGGTCACAAATAATGGGAGCTAGCCTCCTAGAGTTATCGCATGAACTAGACTTAACTGCCTGAAGACAAATAACTTCTTTAAGAGAAGGGAGGATGAAGGTGCATCCATCGATGCCATACAGAATGTAAATACATCCACCAAAGCTTTCGATAACATGCGCTGATTGCAAAAATTGAAACTAGCCATGTGAATAAGTCTCAATTTGCTCAGAAACTTCGTTGAACGAAATAATCTGAGTGACGAAAGTATTTTCCGCCGACCAAGTATGTCAGCACCGAAAATGATGTAAGTCAGCACCGCTCATAGTTATTGGATATAACTGATATTTTACTTTAGTCACTTTATTATTGATACTAAAATAACTATTACTTAACTAATATTATTATTAATTACTAATAATATAGAATATAGATTAACTAATAATATAGAATATAACCAAATCCTTGGAATATAGCGACTAGACCCGATAGTGATTGTGGTTAGATTTTTTGATGGATTTTAAATTGTTACGGATTAGGTTCGCGACAGGAGTGTCCAAAGGGGGAAAGCATTTTTCTGACCTAAGGGCAAGAGTCAGAAGGCTCTTTAAGAGGGCGAAAAAACGAACGTGTGATAGTTGACAGTGTTATTCTCGAGCGGTAAATGAGTCGTCTCGTAAAAGAATCCCGCAGAAAGAATACATGGACAATGGTTCCCAAAGGAGCCATTTAACACTGTGTGCTTCTTTGTAAGACCAGATAGTACTTATACAGAAAGTAAGGAGGAAACGTTGTAGCTTTCGGTGAAGCTACACTTTCATGGTTCTGCAATCGCATTTTCGTCTGACAATGCCCGTTGTTCGGCAGGTCGAAGTTTTCAAGGGAGAAGTTTGTGGCTTTCGTTCCGGAGGCCAATAGGGAAACGGGTGTCGTCATTTAATTTTTAAGGCTCTCAAAAGATTGTAAAGTGGAATATAAGAGATATGTCCAATAATATGCATTCATTTCAAGCTTCGGTATTCCTCAGGGCAAATCAACCGAATGCTCTACTGAATCTTACTGCACTTGGGGTTTTCGTGAATATGGCGCATTCAACAAAAACGGAATTAGACAATAATGAATAAAATTTCATCTTACGACAATATAAATTAAGCAAATAAACAACCTTTTTTCCTAAAACAAAAACCAAGAAATCATCTTTCGGTAACTAACAGAAGACCACGTTATTAATAAAATATGAGAAGTGTATGGGTTAAAGTATGTTTAAATATAACATGATTATATGAATGACTGGTAGCTTCTCAAAGTACTTTTTCGAATTAACCCAAATCGAACGGGGCTCTTGCAATAATTACTGTTAACAATCTTTGGAAACTTGATTACTCTACCGATTTTAAGTTATTACTAGGACAAACGGATTGACATACATAGCTAAATCACTCAGTCTACGTTGAGTGGTGGTATATATATTTTCACACGAATATTTTTCAGATTTATAATATTCTTCGAATATTTGTCCATACTTATAGAAAAAACAGAGAAAAACTAAGGGAAATTGTTTTGTTCTCTTTTAAAGGATATTCTTTCTTGATAGTTCTAAATAATAATTTCTTAAAAAATTTTTTACGTTCTATAATTTCAAGTAATCTCATTGTCATCTATCAGAAAAATTTAAAACATAGCATTACAAAGTGCAAAAAAGGTACCAGATTTTTCCAGTAGCTCGAAAATGAGTAAATCGACACCCCCTCCTAAAATTGATCTTCGTGAAATTGATTAAAGAATAATCATTGAAATTATGCAAACACACTGTACATATATGTACATATTTTTTACCTAAACAAAAATATTTAATAAAATAGTTGAATATTTTAAGCATTTAGAATATTTTGGTATAAAACTTCTTTAAGATCCTGTGTAATCTAAAAGACATATGTGTAATGTATGCACATACTTCAAACGTTACGATAAACCACGATATATGACTACCTTAACAAAATTATACTTCTTAATAGGAATACTCACCGCATGGCCTTAATGTCCGGCGTATCGCTTGGAAGCCCTTTGTTGTTCATAGGGTTCATAGAAATTTTACTTTTACTAAAATATATGCCAATTATAGTTCTCACAGTTTTTAGATTGTTGAATAGAACAGCAAACTCGATCTACAGTTTTGAAGGAACATGAAAAAAAAAATTTAAAAAGTTAAGTGTATTTTTTAGTATATTAACAAAACACATTATTAAATTATTGAAATAAAAGAGGAATTTAAAGTTCATTGTAAGCTAAATCTAATTAAAACATTTGTTGAGAAAAATTAAAAAAGTCTATAAGATAAATGTTTTCAATGTTTGTTGCGTCTTGATTTTTGTTGATTTTAAAACTTTATTTTGAAGCTATTAACGCTTCAAACTACAATTTTTTTCAAACTTTTTGCTTGTAATTATAGTAATATAGTAAATTATAGTAAATTAAATGTATTTTATAGGTTCAGTATTGGGTAGAACTAGTATCATGTCATTTGAGGTATCCGGACTATTTTATCTTTGCTTTTTATTGACACTAGGTAGAAAATCCTTTTTCAAATATGGTCTATAGGTAAGTAGTAGAAAAGGGATTCAGAAGTAAAATCTCACGTGTAAATAACCCTGGAATATTATATACTCGTATATTTCACATTCAACCAAAATCCTGGTAAATTTTTTAAATTAAATTCTGCAGTTTTATGAAGTTTTAGAGATCTTGAATATTTTGAACAAAATGGAAAACTACTTAAAAATTTTACTTCAAAATGAGAAGTTATTACAAAAGTTATAAAATTTTACATTTTATGATTTTATTAAAATTTTTAATTAATAAAAAAATCGTTTATAAATATTTATGTTACTCTATAGTGCTTCAGTACTTAAAAACATATGGAATCGTTATTGATTCAAATCAATAAGTTCGACTTCAAAAAATAATGTTTATTGACTTCAAATTAATAGCAAAATATATGAATTTCATTTTTCAAAAAATATAAATGTCAAAGCTGTTTTGACACATTCTTTGGCCTTCTTTCTGAAAATCTTTATTTTTTGTCAACGAGTGGATTAGTTGGTCTCACCTACATAGCGTCTTGGAGGCCGACTCCAACAGTTTAAAACAATGGTTTTTAGTAGGTTTTTTTTCTACAGGTGTAGCTCTTTTTCGAGCTAGAGCCTGTAGACAAAAAAGCTACTAGATTTTTTCCGTATATAAAAAAACGCTTATTAGTTCGAAACCATGTGGCATAGAATAACCATCGACTTGTTTTTCAGGCCATTGATTGCTCATGGTTCCGAAGTAATGAGCTTTCATTTGTATGTAGGAAAAATCTGATCCTTTTTTTTTCAACAAACTGTAGCTAGAAAACGAGTGTATCTGCTCATATATAAGCATTTGTGTATCTACATATCGCCGTCTGAGTGCTATTTTGATTAATACGCCACTTTCGAAATTTCTGACTTAAGACCACTTTCATAGGTTTTCGAAGATGATCTTTCAGTATATGTAATCAGATTTTCGCTATCTCATTTAGTTTCGTAGATACGCCGATGTCATTTTAATCCACCGCCACTTAAAATTCGATTTGGGATGCATTTTGATCCATATACAAAATCGTTGGCTTATGGAACAAATTTTCATATAAGTTTTTTAAAAAATTTATGAGTGCTTTTTTGCTATTTTTGAAAAATTACTTTAAATGCAATAGAAATTTTACTTTTTTACCAAAATTTTATTATTTCTCATCTTATTTTATTACTGTTATATGTATTAACTTATTATTCCTTAGCAAGTAAACTTTAAACATTTTATGAGACTATAAAGAAAATTAGTCTTAAATTTATGTTAAATGAAACATTTCAAATTATTAATTTTTTTCAAACTTACTTTTTTAAACTGAAAAATTTTGGGCAAGATAAGGAAACAAAATTTTTCTATTTAAAATAAGCTTCCTGAACATCTGATTAAAAATGAAACCTCAAAAAAATTTTAAAATAACACCCAAAATTTTCTAGTAAAATAAAGTTTCCAACAACCCCTAGTTTTTAAAAAATTCTTACATTTAGTATTTAAGTTCTGTTTATTAGCGGGAGGTAACATTCTCTCTTAAAATTTGAAATACGTTTTTAGTGAATTTTTTAAGCACTTTCACAAGAAAATTTGGAAAGAAATGTTTACTAGCTTCACTCTGTCCATCCCTCCGTCTGACTGTCCGTGTGTCTACTTACAAATTTCTGCGTCCTTTGCCATAGAAAGCTGAAATTTTATTCGACATTAGATCTTTGCTAAAAGCTTATTTCTGTAGAAGAAAATCGCCTTCCCACTCTAAAAGTTCTAAAAGTGTCATATTTTTACTATTTATTGTAACGAAACGATAAAGATTTTTCAATTTCCCCAATCGCAGAAAAATAACGACATCTGATGAAAAATATGAATGCGGAAGACACAGTGGCTCTTACAATTAATCTAAGATAAGTTTTTATCACATTTTTTCTCAGCTATTAAAACACTAATAAGACCTCGAGCTTCGTTAGAGGAAAATTTTTTTCCGCCCCCAATTTTTCAACCCGAAATTTTTAAAATCTGAATTTTTTATATGATCTATTCCATTTTGTGTATAGTATGCCGCTGCAGAAGAAGTCACCCACTATATTTCTGCGTTTTTAAAATTCGAAAAATGCTTATGGTTGCACTGCAATAAATAGTTAAAAAATAGTTAAGAAGAAGTCACCCACTATATTTCTGCGTTTTTATAATTCGAAAAATGCTTGTGATTGCACTGCAATAAATAGTTAAAAAATAGTTAAAAATGCCGTTTTAAGGATTTTAGGGGATAAAACTTTAAGAGGGGGAAAATAGGTAAAAATTTTGTTCTACAGAAATAGGTTCCTAGTAAAGATCTTCATAAAATTTCAGCTTTCTTTCTTCAAGGGTATAGAAGTTTTGTAAACATGTCCACGGACGGACGGACGGACAAAGTGACATGTTTACATGGTCGGAAGGACGGCACTTTTTTAAAATTTTTTTTTGGGAAAGTGTGAAAAAGTAATGAAATTTCAAATTATTAAAAAAACTTCTATTTTCTATTTCCGGTTTTGCATGATGTGTTGTATGTTCGATACATTTATGTACTAATGTACATAGAAATAATCTGAAGTGGGTATTTGTTTGTTTTGTGATTAGAAATAATCTAAAGTGGGTATTATATGTACAAGTGTTGAATCTATATTATATTTTACAAGATTTTTCCAGTTCATGAACAGGTATACATATAATCTAATAAATAACAAAAACAAAAAAATGAAAATAGCAAAAGAGAATACTGGGTAGAAACATTACTCAATTGATTATACATACTGTAAAACAAAAACAAAAAATGAAAAGCGAAAAGCGAAAAGCGAAAGAGAATAAAAAAAGGGTAGTAATATTTTTTTTGTTTTTTTGCTTTACTACCATAAACAAAAATAAACAGCAAAAGGAAGCGAAATATTTTAAATGAGTTAAGTAAGAGTAAAATAATTTTTTGTTGTTGTATTTAACATGGAATGGAATTAAAAAAAATAAAACTAAAAATTGTGAGAGATATAAGAACACGAATAACGTTACGTTACGTACTAAGGCAATTATTCTTCGTGTGCTTGCGAAATTTCAATTGAGTAAGTAGCCAAGTCAGGTCTGTATAAAGAAAAGAGGCATTGATTTTTTATTAATTCACATTTACTTTGGTTTTAAAGTTTAGCGTAAAAGGTACTTTTCCTTTTAATTTTGTTCGGCATCAGTTCCCCATCCGTCTTGCATATGCCATGACTATAAATAAGTCCCAAGGGCAAACTTTTGAAAAGGTTGGCTTCTATCTCCCCCAGCCGTGCTTTTCGCATGGGCAATTATACACAGTATGTTCAAGAGCCATAGACTCCAATTCTTTAAAAATTCAAGTCAAAGATACGGTTCGTCAGGGAAAAATCGATGATGGAAATATTTTAACAGATAACGTTGTTTATAAGGAAATTTTTCGTTCTTAATTGTTAACTAATTCTTAAATTGAATTTTAATCATATCTATGTAATTAACAGTGACACATATTACATCTTAAAATTTATTAAATTAAAAATATTTCCATTACTTTTATTTATCATTAGTATTTAAACCAATATGATATTTATGCATATACAAGTATATACCTGCATATGTATGCCATAATATGTACAAATTTTTCTAAACTTATTTTAAAATTGATTGCCACAATCCTGTTTTTACAACAGATAATGCTGCTTATAAGCAAACCACAGGGGCCCCTAGTGCTCCTTCTATTTCTCAATCTTCAGAATTTTGTTTTCCATTTTTGTTAAAAAATGATGCTTTTAAGAACATAAAAAAAATGTTGCCTCTTGAAAAAAATTAATTATTCAAAGGAAAATGTAAAGTAGGACCCTGTGCAATTCCAAGCTATAAGTTTTAAACGGTTTTGAAAACGTAATTTAGAAAAATTTAGTCTGTCGCAATTAAATATTCTAAATAAAATAGTAAACCTTTAAAAAACGTAGATTTTATTTATTACGACGTAGATTTTATTTATTGTTGTGAATAGCTAAATATGATAAATATATGTATATCTAATAATTATAAATTTATATTCGTTTCCTTGATTATCAACTTCCGCCAAAAAGAAAATAAATAAAGTTGGGTCAAACCAATGGTTTGTATTGTAGCACTTTTCCCTTCAGCAAGTGAAAATTCTGCTTTTAAATACAGTCTATGTATACCTATCACACATTCTAAAAATTATTTTCATTCATATACAAAACTCTTTCTAGGATTGCATATATTTAGGATGATACATACATGCAGTCTTTGAAATAAAGCAAAAATTAATATAAAGAGGGGTTAACATAATGCTCGATTTTAAGGTTTAATTATGTGAGTTAAGAAAAATAATTATATTTTTTAATGTCATGGAATTTGCCGTTAGCTTTTTGTGTTTATAGAAATTTGAAAAAGCTTATGGTTTCGGAAATATAAGGTGTCAAAAATTCAAATTTTACAAATTTCAAGAGGCAATAACTTGAGAGGGGAAGGAGATAGAAAAAAATTTTCTTCTAACGAAATGAACTATTTATCAATGTCTAAAAGCCCATAAAAT